GAAAATATATGGGAAACGCTGGACTCCTGCCCACCTGGAGTGAGCTGTGGTTACAGGTGGGAGGTGCTGCTGGCATTAGCTCCTGCGCTGTAGGGTTTCTGTTCGCTCAAGCCTCTGATAGCTCTTTAAGAGGCGGTGAAAGGTTCTGTAGCTGGTAGACTATTTCCACAGGATCTACCTAATTAGGAAAGGATGGGGGCCCTCAGATTAAATTTCAGTTAAGTACTTCCCCACTCCCACTGACGCCATTTGAAGTATTCAATCCGGCCTTCAAAAGAATGGGAGAAGCCCACTGTTGTTTAATAAACATCAACCAAGTTATAAAAAGGCAAGTGACAAAAGCCCCCCAGAGGGTTCTCATCTGCTCTTGGCCTGGGCTGACGAGGACATCGATAGTACCCAGCATTTTCCAACCTTCCCTGATGGGAGACCCACCTAGAAGAGCATTGTTAACATGCAGCCCCCCAGGCTCTTTGCTCGGAGACTGTGATTCAGGGCATCTGTGGGGAGATGTGGTCCAGAGGCAGGTGGTGGAACTGGAACCTATAACTTTAACAGGTGCCTTCTGTGTGTCTTAAGAATGGGCACGTCTGGGGACCCCTGACGTAACCAATGTAAACCTTTATTGAGAAGAGAGCTGCTTGACAGTTACAATGTCAGAGATGACACGTCTTCTCCAGGCTTGGTAATCCTTACCCTATAGCCAGCGACACTTCTGCAGCGACAGTTTTGTCCAGTGTCTTTATAAGGAAGCTGGCTGAAGTTGCCAATGACAGAGTAAAACCATTTTTTGCATGAGTTAGAAAACCAGAAAGAGTTGAGTCCAAGGTATTAATCAAATATGTGTGTACGTGTTGTGGACTCCGGCAAATTTTTTGTGACATACCAATGTTCTTATCTGTAAATTGGGATAATAATCCCAACTTCATAGAGCTTCTATGAGAATTGAAGGAAAGGACAACTGTAAAACCCTGAGCTCAGGGCCTGGCACAGAGTAAGCGGGGAGTGAAGCAGGGAATGGTCATTGTCACCATTGTCAGTTATATACCAGGGTGTAAATTCTTCATAATCAAGTGATATTATGACCGAAAGTTTGCCTTAAATTATCTTACTTCATAAAAGGCATGTTCTGACACCACAGCTTGGTTCTGGTGCCATCGCATATGATTCCACCCAAATGGAGTTCTCCTAGACTGTTTTATTATTTTGTAAATTTCAAAGCTACAAACTCTGCAGATGTCGTTTGGTCTGTGCATTTGAAAAGAAATGAGTTCATTCTAACATTCACGTCTAGAAAATTCACGCACAAATCTAGATTGCCGGGTATGAGAAGTTGGAGGTTACAGGCTTCTGGTTTTCCTGCTGGAGAACCTGCCGGGGTGGAGGAGGGGCTGCCCCCTTGAACAGGGCGCACATGCCCCTGCTTGTCTGCCTCCTAATTTCTGTGACTCACCTGGCCCTTGTAGACATCTCAGTGTGTCACCCTGACATCCAAGGTGATGTCTTATTTTCTTATACATCTTTGGATTCTCGGCTCTTAGCCTGGTTCGTAGTCATAAATGCATGAACTGGAAGAAGCAGTCACTTCACTGCCCCTCACACCAACACCGTTCCAACCAGTCGTCTGCAGACTTTGTAGGTGAACGTTCAGAGCCTACCTCCTGTGACTCTCCAAAAGCAGCTGCATCGAGTCCAACTCCCACCTGACACTCCAGATCAACCCCCGCTCCAGTCCAGTTCCACTGTCCTTTCCTGCCATGTCCCACTTCTCAGTTAACCGACTGCGTCCCACACCATTCTTTGAACTTGCCTTCTGTGTCCCCAGCTTGGAGCCTCTGCCCTCCCTCTGTACGCCTTCCTTCTGAAAGTCTGCCCCTCTGCCAGGTGCCACCTCCCCTCTGATGCTTTTCTAATTTCCCCAACTAGATGTGATCCCTTATCATCTGGCATTTCTCTTATCTTCTGTTTGTAAATATGACACACATCCATAGTGCCCTGTACCGTAGTGAGCTGTGTCCAGGCCCTAATTCTGCTGCTCAGTGTGCGGATACACCTACCCCTGGTACCCCATGGCAGAGACCATGTCACAGACATCACATTATTACCAAAACCAAGTCCCTGACATATTGTAAGGGATGCTTAAATACAGGAATACAGTTCCAGTCTAAGGAGAAAATGCTACCAACTAATAATCTACTTTCTTCCTCACCCTATTACAACATGAAACCTTACTTTTTCCCAATTATTTTGTTTTGGGTCCCCCTTAGAAGGCATAACCGAACATTCGCCTTTGTTACGTCACTTACTTGATGTCCTAACAGTTCCGTTAGCTGAGAAGCAGGGATAACGCAACCTCTAGTGTGGTCGTAAGGGTTCAGGGAGTTACGTGCTGGTAAAGGGCTTAGCCGAGAGCCTTGGGCAGAGCGAACATGAGGGCATGGCTAATATTATTACTACGTGGAAACTCACCTAATAGTTAGAAACCAGTTTAGAACTGGCTTTGCTTCATTCTATTTTTCTAAAAATACTTCTTAGTAAAGAACAGGTCAAAGATTATAGTTTGTGTGACTTAGACTAAAGAAATGTATTTTGCTCAAAAGAAGAAAAAAGGGGGTTGTTTCAAATACCAATGGTTCAGGCAACAGTAGCTTTTTCAAAAGTACACGTTTATAACCGCCAAGCTGACGACTGATTCAGGAAAAGACGACCGATGAAGGGAAAAACCGTGAGGTGAAAGTGTGCTGAGGAGCAGGGATTTACAGTCTCCCAGTTCCGCCCCATACATTAGTGATTAATTACAAAGGGAAGGGATAATTTTATACTGGGGAAACTTGGTGACTGTCACCTCAACCAATTGGTTAAGAATTACCATCACCAAAGAAAAACCATAATGGACATGCGATAAGGTATGCAATAGCAAAAAATAAAAATAAAAGGAAAAACTAGAGATAAAATTATCACCATTATGAGCCAGTGATGTGATGTGATATAATGGAGAAATAACATCACCTGCGTAGTATTCTTGCAAAAAAAAATTAACCTGACTCTACCAATAAGGAACCCACCAGACAAATCCAGATTGTGCAACAAACTCCCAAACACTTGACTCACACACTTCAAATAAACCAAGGTCATGGAGAAAGGGAGGGAGGGAGGGAGTGGGGAGGGAAGGAAGGAAGGAAGGAAGATGGGACAAGCTTTCTAAATCAGTCGAAAGAGACAATAATCAATGCAGAGCATGAGCCTTGATCTGATCCTCTGGGGGAAAACAAACACAGCTATAAAGGCCCTCACTGGGACAGCTGGTGAAGTATGAGCCACCCTACATACTGGGTAAGTAAAAGTAGGGAAAAAATAAGATGAACCCAATTATACTTCGACCAGCTCTTTCCTGAAGTACTTTGGTATCTGGGAATCTATTCGTTGTAAGATCTAAAAATGTGAACGTTACACGTGGTATGTTTGCTCTTTTGAAATGGATCAGAGGTTTCATAGAAAGAATGTACAGTTGGGTTGTAGTCATACAAATGGGCATAAACGCTTAGAAATGGATAAAGTGCACATAATTCTGTGGAGTGTTTGGTTGGGACAGTACCAACTGCCCGGAGAGAGTGCTGGGTAAATGTCACCTGCTGACAAGAACCAGCAGAAAGTCCCCAAGTGGGACCCTTGCATCACTGCTTTTAGGAAATTTTACCTACTGGGAATGGACTACTCGTGAAGTCACACAGCAGTTTCCTTCTCCTTTCAGTAGATGTGGGTGCCCAGGCAGCCCTGGCTGCCTCCGTGTGGAAGACAGCGGTGTATTAGTCTCAAAAAAGGGGAAACGAAACAGCCGTGTGAAAGCCAGGCTGGCCGTCACTAGTGTAATCCAGTGTTTGGGCCGCCTCTTCTTTTCAGGGGGTGATAGGAGCCATTAACAGCTTCCTTTTAGTTTCTGAGGCCACCGATATTTTCATTACTAGTGTCCTCAGGCACAGAGTTTTTAATTTAAAAAAAGAAAGAAAGTTCAGGATGGAAATAGTCCTTCACCACAGGAACGTCTCTGCAGCAGAAACATGTTATAGTTTACCTGTCAATCTTATCATGATGCCAGGTTTATTCTGAGTGTCTGGAAGGAGGAAGAGGAAGTAGGGAAGACAGGTGATGGTAGGGCTGTCAGACGCGCCTCTGGAATCACTGACACCTTGGAAAAGCTGAGGGCTCAATTCCAAAGTGGTTCTGAAGTCACAGGTTTCTTACCTCTCTGGCTAACAAGAAAGTGATCATTCTGGCTCCGAGAGATTTTCCCTACTTCTTCCAAAGCCATTAGTGTCCTACTTCTTGGAATTTTTTTTTTTTTTGGACAGGTGTGTAGATTCAGGTTGGCTACAAATTCTTTGTCACTCTCCCCAGCAGGAGCTGGACTTTATCCCCGCCCCTCCTTGCATCATGGCTGGCTCTGTATCTGCTGAACTAACAGATCACCACAGAAGTGCACTGAGCAGTTCCGGGCCCAGCCTTCCGGAGGACTGTGGCTTCCTTCCTCCCTCTTGGAACCCAGCTTCCGTACTGGGAGGAGCCCAAGGCACACGGAGAGGCCCAGAGCCGGTAGGGACTGGCAGCACCATGGGGGAGCCAGCTTGGACGTCCCAGCCCCATCACGTGCTGGTAAGGCCAGTCCACACAAGAGCATCACAGAATCATGACACGGGATAAAATGTTTTTTTAAGTGGTTACGTTTGGGTGTGGTTTGCTCTGCAGCAAAGATAACTGAAACCTGTAAATGAAACGTTCACAAGGAGGAAGGTTTATCTTCTAAGCAATGCAGAACAACAAAGCACAGCGTTACACTTAACTGAGCGGGAACGGAACCGTTCAGAACAGGTGTCAACATCCTTCTCTAGTGGGTTTCGGCCTCAAGACTGGCCTCAGCTTTTAGGCCTCTTTTTGATGCTCGACACAGAACATTTTAAAATAGAAAAATTTCATTTTAATACAGCCTCACACCAACACGTGTGTTTCACACAGACCCTTATTTTTTAAACAGAGTTTATTGTATTTAATACATTATAAAATTTGAAAAATTGTAGGAAAGCAGCAGACTCAAACTGGAGCAACTCTAACAAGTAATAATTCTGGCCCCTTTGCAAAACTGATCAGTTTAAAAACAAAGTAACGTTCACATCTGGGAGGCGGACAAAAAAGTGTGACTTCTGTACAAACTACATTTAAAATTTCATGTCTAACGTCTTTCGAATGCAGTGTGCTCAGGAGAGGTTTTTTTTTTTTTTTTGAAGTCCTGCCCGGTCCCCGTCTAAAGAGAGACACGAAATGTCCATATGCAAAGAGACGCAATTCTAGGTGTTTTGTTTTTTTTTTTCAAAAAAAAAAAGGAAAAAAAGACAAAGGAAAAAAGAAACATTGGATGGCTGTTGGCAATGGAAACCGTAAGGAGATTCGTCCTCACTGCTCATGGCTTGTTTATTGGTCAGAGGCCTTGGGGGCCCAGGACACTTCACGGCCATCACAGCACCAACTGTAGCTACCACCTTTTTTCTTTTTTTTTCTTTTTTTTTCTTTTTTTTGCATTTCCTACCTTTTGACATATATATATATTTATATATTTTTTACACCTTGAGGATATCACTATTCCCAATTGTTCCCATACGAATACAGGTGTGGTCTCTATTGGATATAAATGTGTCTTTTATTCAATTTTAGGTCCAGGACTTGGTTTGCTGTCCCAACTGCATATAAATGTCCCTTTTTTGTCTGTGTTGTTTGTTGTGTATGTTTCTTTCTTTTCTGCATAAGAAATACGTCCATTTAGTCCAGAGGCTCTTGCTTTATCCGGATGACAGAGGGTCCACGGGGCGTCCGCCTCAGTTCCCGCCGCAGGACATATTCGCTGAACTGAGATGAGTCCACTCCTCCCCCGCAGGAGCCCACGATTTCAAATCCTCTTTGCTGCAACCTCTCGAGGACCTGCAAGGGGCCAAGACAAGCATCCATCCGGTTAGGGGCGAGGTAGGTCCTTTGGCCACACAAACAGCCCAAAGATTGTCCCAAAGTTTGAGATCACGTACAGCTCTGGTACATCTGATCCAACCCCTAAACCTCTCCAAGTTTCTGCTTTCAAATGGAGACTCTGGATTAAAAGACAGGAGAGATGGAGCAACTGTTTCTAATACCTAAAATGTGCCTTTACAGCTAGCTTTGCCCATGCCAGGTCCACTTACTCATTACAACAACATGGCGAAATGGATGGAGTTAGCCCATTTGATTGATAAGAAAACGGAGGCTCACGCCTAATAAGTAATGAAACTGGGTTTCCAACTCAGGTCTCTAGTCTCAAATCCTATGTGTTTTGCAATATGCCATCAACTTTCTCTGCAGAAAGAGAGGGTTCATATTTCAAAGCTCATTTACCACTAAGATATATTCAATTTGTTGATAGAGACTATGGAAAGACCGTGATATTATCTGTATTTACTCCACCTGTGATTCATCCTAAACTTATTCACTCTTGATTCGGCCACTGTTCATGTTTCTTGAGACTGAGTTAATATATTTCAGCTTGGAAGACTGAGGCAATTTCAATCGCAGAACAAATGGACTATTGAAGAGAGCTGAGGTTTATCTACAGCTTTTTGAGTTTGTGGCATTTGAAATGGATTTATTGCCTTGTGTGCATGCAGGGAGGTAAGAATAAATGCAGTGGTTACATACGCTTCTCATATACAAATAACCCACATAATCTCATCTTTATTTCTGAAATCAAATACTGAATGCCACAAAGATCCCTGAGTCTGTCACTACATGTCTGACACTCTAGGATGCACGAAACAGTTCCTGCAACTCTTAGATATGCAAAAATACAGAAAACTGATCTAAAGCATTTTGTTTCTTTTGGAATCCAACAAATATTAGACTTGCAAATGTTCCCTGCCAGGATTCTGGATATAATTAAATTATTTCTACACCACTCTAAAGGCAAGATGACTCAATCAGAACTTAAAAAAAAAAAGCCTGGCTAAAATTTGTATTATTTTGGGAATGAAATGAAATGTTACCAAATAACTTGCAAAATGTAGTTAATGTACCGTGAACCCTCCTTATTTTTTGGTCGCCTACTTTTATAAGGAATATAATCTGCTATTTTGCAAACCAGCTAGATGAGATTGGAACGCAAGAAAGTATGCTTTCTAAAAAATTAAAACTGCAAGCACTGGCAAATTAAAAAACAAATAAACAACCAAAAATCCAAGTCCTTTCGAGAACAAAATGAACACTCTACCCTGCAGTGCTGTATTTCTGTACATAAATTCACATTGCATATGCACACCAGGCAGCAAAAAGACATGATGAAGAAAACAATCCCTAAGTTCAAAATTAAGAGGTGCTCTGGTAGCAGGTGAATAAAAAGGTGAGGAACAGCTCGCTCTAAGGAGATTTCCCCAGTAGAGGCAGGAATGTAGCTTGTCAGCAAGAAACACTCCAGTTCATTTGGCCAAGCCACTGCCCTGGAAAGGATTCCCTGCCTTGATGGAGAGGAATTACAGGGGGAACTGAACAATAAAGAACTTAACTCTGATATCATTTGTCTTTCACTGTTGTTTGTTAGTTCGCTAAATTGCTAATATAAGGAAATCCCTAAGCTTCCTCCCCTGAGGGTCTGATATACATATGATAATTATTCAATATGATCCAAGGTTACCTTGGACGTGGTAAAGCTTATTCCTATGTAATACTGATAGCTTATGCTTCTTGGCCATTACTTTTTAAATATCAACTTGTTAATAGCAAAGTTTCTTAAAGTGAGTGATGGGGAATATTAAAATCACTCTGCGGGATCAAGCTCCTGTGCCTTATCCCAGAGCCTCTGCAGAGGATGGACCCTATTCCCTGGTCCACGGAGCAGGAAGCTAGTATGGCTGTCATATGACGACGTTAATCCAGACGAAAATTTCCACATCTGATCAGACTCGAATGACAGGGAAACATGACAGGTTTATAAATTCACAATAGTTATTCAATGGCCCGAGGGGTGGGGCCCTAGAGAAATGATGAAATGCTGTCTTGAGAGAGCCGGGGCAGGGCGTGGGTGGGAGGGGAAAGGCCTCTGGGGCTCTGGAGGCCTTTCTCAACAGCAGAGGCCCTGCTCGGGAAGGCGCGGGGAGCACCTGCGGACCTGGACCAGCCGGCGGCCGCTGGGAGTGTGCACTTCCCGTGGGCGCGCCTCGGGCTCCGGCCCGGCCTGGTCCGGCTGCTCTGCTCTCAGACGTCTGTTCAAAAACTAAACATTATAAATAGTTGTGAAACCATCCTCAAAAGGCAGACTAGAGTGGGTGCTTCTAGACTTGGAGTCTGGGGAGAGGTTTTGTTGGCTCAATATTGAATAAAGTCATGGGTCCTTTCCAACGAAAAAGAGGGAGGAAACCCCCCCAAACTCTCATTCCATTAACTTCAAGTCGCTTTGGGTCATGTGGACCTGGAGTCAAGTCCCAGGTGTACTTCCGCTTTCTCATCAGCAAGACCGGAATGACCAGCGCTCACCTGTTAGGGCGGCGTCAGAAGACATCACACGTACAACCCTGGGCCCAGGGCCAGCACATGCTCCTTAAGACGGTGACCTCACCCAGCAGCAGCTAAGGCACACAGCACCTCACATGATGTAGACCAAACCTCTGAATTCCACCCTTCATTCTCCTTCTCCCATAAACTTCTCCATCTCAGAAAATACTGATTCCCTTCAGCCAGGTCCTCCATCAAAAATCTTAGTCATCCTTGGTTTCCGTCTTACAACCCGCAGCCATTGTCAGAAAACCTGGTTAGCTCTACATTCCAGATACTCAGAGTTGGACACGTCTCAGTTGGTGCTTGGACCAGAGCTTTCTAGCCAGTTCCCTCGCTTCCCCTGGTTTCCACCTGTTGCTAGAAGATGCATTTACAAATATGAGGTACATCATGTCACACTTCTGCTCAGAATCCTCAAATGGCTCTCCACTTTACTCACAGAAGCACGGGAACCAAAACAAAAAGAAATCAACACAAAGAACCCCAGAGTGCTTCCCACCGGCTGCGAGGCACCCCACCCTCTGTCCCCGGCCACCGTGGGCCTTGGGTCTGGGCAAGCTCGATTCCACCTTCGCTCAAGCCACGCTGGCTTTCCTGATGCTCCTCAGGATGTCAAGCACACGCTCCTACCCCAGGGGCTTCAGAACTCGCTGCTCCCTCTGCCGGGATGCTCTGTCCCAGGCATCCTCTTCTCACGACCGACCCAACACTTAGGTTGGTTACTATCTGCACCAGCCTCCCCGCCTCCCCGTCCATTCCCATAATGTAAGTTCCGTGAAAACAGTGCTGCTGTCTGTTTCCTTCTCTTCTGTATCTCCACTGCTCACACCAGCACCTGGCACACAGTGGATGTTCAGTGTGTGTCTGTGGGGTGACAGTGCTGTAAAGGGGTGACTAGTTTACCCACAGAAGTGTTACACATGAGAGCTCGCCAGCTTCTGGAAGGAAAGGCACCCTGGGGTGGCAAGGGGGAGTGACAGCATTAAGAGCGACATCTGATGCCACACGGTGTATGACAGCGCTGTACCTGGACTGAGTTGAGGTGACAGTAGCCGTTTAGTGGAAACCTGATGACGTGCGTCGAGTCGTGGTTCCAGCCCGCGTTGACGGAGTTACACATGACGTCGCCGATCTCCGGAAACACTTCTTCTATCAAGGACTTGTCGCCGCTGAGTGTGATCCTTTCTCCGAGGTCTGGGGCAACACGCACCACTAGGCACTCACAGGGCCTTGAGAAGCGGCCAGTTTCTCTGTCCTGCTTCCATCTTTCCATCTCCAACAACATGGGCTGAAGCTGGAAGTATTTTGCCTCTTCATATAACAAAGTGTAGTCCTGAAGGGGAAAAAAAAGTATTTCACAGTGTAAAATATAAACGGAAGGCAGTGAAGATGTCCACATGTAAGAGGTGGGTTTTTCACCGCTGTTATTTCTGCCATCAAATCACTTATGACACATTTGTACAGACCCAGTCTGCACCCACTCGCTTGTCATTCATTCGTTCGTTCAGTGATTATAATAGGAGCTGAGGGGATTAAAGGGCGGGGGGACCCTTTAGGTGCCTTCCATGAATTAAGACCTGTAATCTCATAACTGCCAGTGACTTGGGAACCGTTCTTATTCCCATTCTGCAGCTGAGAAAACTAGGATGTGAAAGGATTCACTGAAGACCTTTCTCTTTCTGTGGGAAAACGCCTTTGGGTATTTAAAGTCTGATAGTGTGGGTGAGGAGGATCCACCTGACCTTCTGGATGGAACATGTCTGTGGGCTGAGGGGCGGGGGGCAAAGCTGAGCACCTGCAGGGGCAGCTCCTGAGCCTCTTGAAGGAGGCGGGGTGGGGGGCAGCACGGTGGTGGCAGCGGGGTGCAGAGCTGGTGGGTGGGCGCCCAGAGGGCCCGCCTCCTGCTTTTACCTAAACTGGCATGTGACGGAGAGACACCCTGCCCTCAGCCAGCTGCCTGCACCGCAGAATGAGAGCGGCGAACAACACTAGGCCTTGACTCCTGCTGGACGAGGGGCAGGAGGGGAAATGGGCCCCCTTCCGAAAGTGCAGCCGCCCTGTCTCTGGGCACGGTTTCTCTTCCTCTTGTCTTTAAAAAAAACATCTGCTGAATCAAAGGAGGAATCTAGCAAACAGGTATTAAAACACACAGAAGCCACCAAATAGGCGGACAGAAGAGGACGAGGGGGAGGCAGCCACTTAGAACAATGTTATCAGCAGGTCAATATTGTGTCTAAACGTAGCTATGGCCACAATCATCTCTGGCTGTGAGGTACGTGGATACTTGTCCAGACACGTTGACTGAGAACATTTTAATCAACTGACACAGGCATTTTGCCTTCCTTCCAGGGGCTGGAGCTGGCGGGCGCTGCCTGGTGCCTGGGCCTGCGGGAGAGCCGGGGCCTGCGTGCCGTGTGCCCGGGACGGAGCGCGGGGAGCGGGGACCCACAGGAGAGCTGCTTTTGTTTGGCACTTTGCTCTTTTTCTTGCAAGTCAACAGCAGCAGCAGCATCATTCAAGCCTTCTAGAGAAGGCAGTGTGGAGAGGCTGCAAAGCAGGATTGGGCCTCTAGCTGGATCACCTGCCTTCCACGCTGAGAAGCCTGGGCCAGGCTGAGACTCATCAGCAGAAAGGGCTGCCTGACTCTGTCCTCTCCTAGTGCCTCCATCGCCATGAGGTGGGAAGCTCCATTAAAAGACCAGCAGGACCCCCAGGCCAGGCCACTACTCTCTTGCCAGCACCACCTGGTTCCACGGCCCAGTGGCTTTATCTCACTTTTTGCCTCTGAACCGGCTTACTTCTAGGAAAGTGGAACTTACCCCTAAAATTCTATTGGTTCCCTGAGCTAACTCCTGATTGGTCCATTTGTAGTGCTCACTCCTGATTGGTTATTTCTCTCACTCCTGATGGGTCCATTTCTATAAAGCTTGTTCCTAATTAGTCAAATTTTGTTATACCTTATTCATATATGATGTGGCAAAGTGTAAACTGGCAGCCTATAAAAGTCTGTGTAAACCTACAGATGGGGTCCAAAGCTTGGAGTATTAACTCCTCTGGGCCTGCCTGCTGACGTAATAAACCTGAGTTTTCCAACTCTCCGAGTGCTGCTTTGTCTCTTGCCCAGATCCAGGCTGCTGTCACAACTGAGCTGTAACACTGAGCTGTCACATGCTTTTCTGCAATAGCCACAGGAGCCTTGCTTCCCCGCAGGAGGGCAGCCCACTGCTCTGACCACCTTCCTTTCACCTGCTCAGCCTCTGGACTCACAGGAGACACAGTTTGGTCTGAAGAGTTGAGAACTAAGCAGAACTGAGGCTCCTCCCAGTCGCCACTACCGGGGCCCCCCGCGGTATTTGAAGCCCACCACCTGTGAGATTCCAACCTCAGTACCTTACTTACTTATCAAGGTGACAGCTCCAGGAGATTTAAAAACAGTACTGAGAGTTACACAAGCAAGAGAACTGCTGCTGCTATTTATTCTCCTGTGAGATTTAATCAGAAGTTTTTGCACAAAGAAGAACCTGGACTCTGGTGAAAATATGCCATCAAGTCTTCAACCTTAAAGGTACTCCCAGCAGTCTTCCTGACCAATCCGGACCCTATGGAGGAATCCTTTCTAACATCACTGAGTAGTGACCATTCAGCCTGTGATTGAATGCTTCCAGTGATGGGAAGCTTACTACTTAACAAGGCACAGTATTTACTTTGTTCACAGCTCTGATGGTTGTAAATGTCATCATTAGAATGACCTGAATTTCCCTGTAACTTCAATTTATTTGTTCTTAATTCAGCCCCTGGGATTAGAGTGATCTTAATCTTTCTTTGACATGTTAACCCTTCAAACATTTGAAGACAACTGTTAGGTCTTAATATTATTCAGTCTGAAAATACCCAACCCATGCAGAAAATGGTAACAACAGCAAGCGAGACTTTATGCGTCTGAGCCCCGATCTACCAGTCTGTCCACAATTACCCAAAAGTAACGAGACTTGGGTTACAAGTCCCCCTACGCTGACTCTGAATCCTCTCCACCCTCTTTCCCCTGCTGAGTCCACAAGCCTCACGTGTGATAACCCACTCAAGTCTGACCACGGACTGACAGCACCTCCCTTATACAACGCTGCTCACAGTCATCGTTATCTGCTCTTCGCAAATTAAGGGAACACTGGCCCTTATCAGACTTGGCCCTGCTCAGTGTCATCTGAAGGATTCTGCTAGGGGTCATGAAAGTGAAGGATGAAAAGGGCTCCCCCGAAGGTCATCCTGCACTTGGGACGTCATCTCACGGGCCTGGCCTTGAACTACCTGCAGGTGTTCTTTTACTCTCTTGACTACCCTGGCTCCCAAGTCCCTCACCATGCTGTTCCAGCTGGTCTCCAGGGCAGTGTGCTGGGGGAGCGAATGCAGGAGGACGGCTGAGCAGCTCCCCACGCTCACTTGCCCCCCTGTGCTGCCGGCCCCCAGCCCGAGATTGAAAAGGTCTCACTTGCTTTGTTACCATTTTCTGCACGGTTAAGCTCACGCTGGCCGTTTGTCTTCTTGGTTGGCGCCTCTACATCCGTCTTTCTCCGCTTCCTAGGGCCCGATTCACTTCCCGACTCATCAGAGAACTCTCTGCAGACAGACTCAGTCCCCATGGCCGCTCTCTTTACAGACTTTGGCCTCCTTTCCTTCCTCAGTCAGGATCATTTAATTTTACTGCCTAAATTTCACATTTTTTTACGGTTTATCCCATTTCTTCTTAGATTTTTCTGGCCTTGTGCTCATCTCTTCTGGTCTGTCAGTCTTTTGAAGTCTTTTTTTCCTGAAGCCTCCATTCTTATCTGATGATGTCCACCTTCTTCTCTTTGGCTTTTACAAACTCTAGATGACTCAGACTCTTGTTCCCAAGGAACGAGGTGGAAATGGGCCAGAGTTTTTGGGGCTGCAGCAGGTTTGGCCCCAGTTCTTCTTCTGAAGGAAGTGAATCCATGCATCCATGTCTGCTTTCAGCAAAGCAGCTCCAGAACGTACCAGATACCGGCCCTCTGCTCTGCTCCCGTGCGATCTTACCTGCTCCAATTAAGAAAGCACCAACCGCATTCTTGCTTAGGTTCATATCCAGCTAAGGAGAATGAGCATGCCCACAGACCCTTATCGTGTCTAAATGATTTTGAAATCCTAGAATATTTTTATTTAAAAAAAAATTAAAGACTTTCAATAGGCAAATCTTTAGGCAGGAAGATCAAGATCTCACTTTACAGATGTATACACTGAGCTTCCCTGAGACCTTGGAAATGGGGACACGGAACAAGACGGTAAATGTGGGTGGACTCCAAAAGGCAGATGGGCCATGTTTCAAAAGCTTATTTCTCGATTAAATATCTGGAACTCAGAAGACATCTTCCCTACAGGGAGGAAAGTGATATACATAGTGTATTAGTTTCCCACTGCTGTTGGCAGAAATTTGGTGGTTTAAAACAGCACACATATATTCTCCTACAGTTCTGGAGGTCAGAAGTCTGAAATGGGTCTCGCGGGGCTAAAGTCAGGGTGCTGGCAGGGCCACTGTCCTTCCGGGGGCTCCAGGGGAGAATCAGTTTCCTTGTCTTTTCCAGCTTCCAGAGGCTGCCACACTCCTTGGCTTGTGGCCGGCAGTCACACCACCCCTTCCATCACATCTTCTCTGACCCTGACCCTCCTGCCTTCCTCTCTCACATCTAAGGACTCCTGTGGTCCCATGGGGCCCCCCTGGATAATCCAGGATAGTCTCCCCATCTCAAGACCCTTAAACTTAGTCACATCTGCAAGGTCCCTTTTGACACAGAAAGTGACATATTCACAGGTTCTGGGGATTAGGATGTGGCAACTTTGGGGGTCATTAGCCTACCACACGTGGCTTCTAGTCCACAAAATAGTTCAAAGGCGTATTTAACTCCTACTGTACATGAAGTTTTACATGGTGGCACGCAGGTTCTTCCCCTCAAGGGGCAACTCAGCCACTCACGTGTTCGACATCTGGTTACGTGCAGCTGCCAGGGCACCCACCCCACGCACCGCGGCACAGCCCACCTCGTGCACCCTGGCCACAAACAGGCTTTTCCTAGGGGACCACATCCAACCCCTCCCCGGGGCTCCAGGAGCTCTCCTGCCCACGCTCGGGGCAGTGGGGTCCGTGCTTGGGTCCCAAGAAGGCAGGGTATGCATGTACCTGCAAACAAGAGGCACCAAGAAGATAAGGGGGCACGGAAGGGTTTTACAGTCTACATTTCGACAACAGCACTCATGCAGTAATAATTAGAAACAAAACCAGATCCCTGCAAAACTTTCCTAAAAAATTGGTTTGGTTTTTTT